ACGAATCCCTTTCCACAAAATAAAGGTCACAAACAAACCCCCCCACCCCCATCCCCATTTTTTGGGCAGGGAGCCGGAAAACGAGAGCGCCATGGAGGAAGAGTTCTTCCGGAAGCATTTCCCGGGGTTGGAGGGCAGCACCACCCAGGGGGCTTGGGGCCCAAGGGGCAGTGGGGGGGGCAGCCAGGGGGGCACGGGGGGGGGCAGCAGCTGGGGCAGCTGGGGGGGGGGCAGGGATTCGGGGGGGGGGGGGGGGGGGGGGGGGAACACGGGGGGGGTGGGGGGGGGGGGGGGGGGATCCAAGGGTCTTTTGGGGGGGGGGGGGGGGGGGGGGGGCCGCTTTATTGGGGGGAGTGGGGGGGGTATTCCGGTAGAGGGGGAAGAGAGGGGGGGGGGGGGGGGTACTCATAGTCGTGCATGCCGTAGTCGTTTGACCATTGACCTCGCATCCCTACAAAGCCGGGACGGAGCACGCCGGGTTCTCACCGGACCAGGCTCTCACATCACCAAGCGCGAAGCGCCGTGAGGTATTTGGCGAGTCGCATGAAGGGTGAGCTGCATCCTGCTAAGGGTGTTCGGCATCTTGTGCTTACTTCCTCGCGTACGGATGACAGCTACGTATGACTTAATTTATTTTCTGGTGCTTTCACTTCCAGAGACAGTTGTAAGCACTGTGTAACTGCCTCGAGGAAGCTTGATCAATTTAACACAACGCGGTGCGATCATCCCCCGTTGCGCGGAGTGAGGGTTCTCGACCCCGCACAACATAATCTACTCGACCACCATTATGGTTACCGCCAAAAAAAAAAAACGAGGTAAAAAAAAAAAACGGTAACCTGGTTGCCGAGTTCACGAAGTGAGTTGGCTTGTTTTACAACGTCGTTGCCAAGCGACGAAAACCCAATCCCGATGGCAAACACCGAGTGGGGGGCTTGTTTTACAACGTCGTTGCCCAAGCGACGAAAACCCAAACCCCGATGGCAAACACCGGGGGGGGCGGCTTGTTTTACAACGTCGTTGCCAAGCGACGAAAACCCAAACCCCGATGGCAAACAAGGCCGAGGGGGGGGGGGGGGGAGGGGGGCGTGCTCACGTTTTGCATTGCTTAGAGGTTAGTGTTGACCACGCGTCCTCGAGAGACAAGTGTACGTGGGAGATGGACAATAGGCTTCGTTTCATGCGATGAAGTCGTGATATGCTTGCGTTGTTGTTAGTGCGCCGGTGGTGATGGGGAGTGGACCGGTAAGACGGCGAGGTTGAGGCGCACCTTTCTTGCCGGCCCTTCGTCATTCGTGTCTGCCAATCGAAACACCTTTCCAAGCGAACCACAGCATGGCAAGAACCACACTTCCTTGTTCTGAGGCTTGGAGTAGTACCGGGGCGACACCCCCCACCCGCAGCCGCGGGGCCCCATCCCAAAATATAGAGCCAGTAGTCAGGCAAGCACCTCATCGCGCATCCCCACCCCCACTCACTCTTTCTACCCCTCTGGTGCAGAATCGCAACCGCAGCCCGTAGTGGCAGCGGCTCGGGGCGGGTCGTCTTCTGGCATGTCGGGGAGACGATGACCTGAAACCGGTCTCGGGGGCGGCACGAGCAGCGACGAACGACGAGGTATTTCGATCGTGTGTGAAAAAGTGCTCAAAGGGTCCGTTTGAGAATTCTTTGCTGTCGTTTGGTGCTGCTGCTGCTGCTGCTATTGTTGATGTTATTGTTGTTCTTGTTGTTCTTGTTGTTGTTGTTGTTGTTGCAGCTGCTGCTGCTGCTGCTGCTGCTGCTGCTGCTGCTGGTTGTTGTTTTTGTTATCGTTGGTGGTGGTGGTGGTGGTGGTGATCGTTGTCGTTGATGATGATGTTCTGCGGCGTAAACAGCTTGGGCACCGCACCGCGGCTTCGACAATCTCTTGTCCCCACCACCACTGCTGCCTCTGCTGGTGCTATCTGCTTCCACCGCTGCTGCTGCACCCCGACCAGCGATGGTCCGATCGAACCAATCGACGGCCGGAAGCTATCGAGAGGCACCGTAGAATGTGGCGGCCGACACTTGTCCTGGCCCCCACTAGGTTTTACTTTCCGTGGCGTGTTAGTGATCGTGCGCTCTATCATGGCACACACGGAACGCCGCGTCCGCGCACGTCGAACGAGCGATCCAATCGACGAAAGTGGGGTCAACGGCGCGTTCCGATCGTGCTCCACGGCACTCGATCGATCAACCCTTTCGCCGATCGACAGCGTTTTCGACAATAACAACAACACAACAACAACAGTAACAACAGTAACAACAATAACAACGCCATGGCATAGCGGTCAGTTGACCCAAAGTCCTTGCTCCCCCTCCCTGTTTTTGTTTGCTTTGGACAACGGCAGGTATCCCTGAACGACTCTGACGACACGGGTTCTTTGATCGACGAGGACGACGAGAGCACCGAGGACCAAGCTTCCCGCTCCTACAGCGACAGCAACGACGACAACTTTTGAGGATAGATAGAAACAGGAACGCTGCTGCTGCTGCTGCTGCTGCTGCTGCCTCGTGGCTCACCGTCGGTTCTCGCCCTTCTCCCTAGGCGTTCGGTGCGTGCTGGCTTGTTACTGCCGTTCGCTGGATGTTGTTGTTCAGGGTGTGCTGCTCTCTGTCGTTGCCGTTGCTGCTCGAGAAGACGGGAGTGGTAGCAAGAACGTAAAACCTGTGGCCAACCGGGAATTTTCGTTTTTTCCCTTTGTTGTCGCTGCTGCTCCTGCGGCGGGAGTGACTACGACAGCCTCCCGAACTCTTGTATCAGCGGGCTGTCGAAATACTGTATCCGTAGTAAGGGTACAGCAGTCAAGTCAGTCAGTGCTGTTGGCATTTTTTTTTTGTTTGGAACAGCTGGTATATAGATGCCGGAACAGACGTCTCACACCTCTTTTTGTCTTTACGCTCTTTTCTCGCGTGAGCTTTGTCGCCCTGGCTCGCCTTCGTTTGTTGCATTAGCGGGACGCACACGGCCCCAACGGCCTAGATTTTTGTAGTTTTGTTTGCTGTTGGGTCTGCGTGAAACGCGAGCGAGCGAGGTCGCCGAGAGTTTTTGTAACTGACTGCCGCTTGCCACGGCACGCGCTGGTCTTGGCCAATGCGACTTCGCGGTGCCCATGAGATAGCGCAAAGGCGACGCGCGAACATTACCACCCTACACCTCCCGTACCGTGGCAAGAAATTAGCTGGAAGACGCGCGAAAAACGCACCGGTTTTTGATCTTGCCGCCTAGACCCAGAGATGGAGGGAGCGTATATGCGTGTTTTAGAGCCGCTTCGTGCCGTAGATGGGCATCCGTCTGATGACGAAGTAACGCGTACGCAGTGTGCGAAAAGGCTGTCTGGTACTGCTGCTGCTGCTGCTACTGGTCTACATGTACTTTCGTCCGTGTTTGTTAATATGCATAGGTATCGGGTTCGATTTTTTGCTGAACAGGCAGGGAGGAGAAGCTTTATGGTGAAATTTGAAGTTTTTTTTTTCGTTTTTTTCGTTTTTTTGTTTTTTTTGTAGACTAGATTATGACCGGTCAACGCCACCATCGTCGTCGAAGTAACCTGTGTGGGAATCGATGTGCTTCATTTTGTTGGTTAAATCGTTACGACACGAACTTTGTCGGATATCGTGCACGGAGATACTACTGCCTTGTCTTTGGGGTCTGGAATTCTCGCTGTTTAGATGCAAGATAACTGTCGCGGTTTACACTTTTTTTTGTTTGCCGACCTGAGGAATATCTGCTTGTGTACTCTTCCGACGTTTCAAGTGGACAACTTGGTCCTTTTGGAGCTTGTATTCTCGTTACGGGTTGGATCGTGGGCAGCAAGCAATCTGCCCTGATGATAATGCCACGGATGCGGTCGGGATGCTCCCAATTTCTCCCTCTGGGCATGCATTTGCTGGCGGCGCGGGCCTCGCAACGGTTGGGTTGTTTCGGGAAGAAAGAAGAAGATAGGCAAACAGTAAAGGGTGATTTCAGCAAATAGGAAGCGCTCCGCTGCGGCGGCGAGTTTCGTCGAACAAAGAGTGTCCACAATATATGTACAATAGAGGACATTCGTACTTCGTATTGTTAGTTGCATGTAGCCTAGGAGGGCAGAAGGCTATTAGTTGCCAACAAAGACATGTTCAGCAGATAGACAAATCGTTTCGCCCAAAAAACTGTACAGTTTGGTCGGGACTTTCGATTATTTAGTCGGCGGAGGTGCGGGGGTGGGGGGTCTTAACGCCAAAATTGATTGCTCATTTGAAGAAAATCAATTGCAACAACCAGGGGCGGGTGTTTCCGAAGTTGTACTAGACGGGAGGTAACGGTGGAAAACTAAAACGCCGGCTAGAGGGCGACTACGACTGGTTTATTCATTTAAATACTGGTTTTGTGGGGGGTCGAAAACGATTTTTGGTTTAATGGTGGAGGAGGTAAATGGAGAAGACAAATCTAGCTGTCGACACGATTTCCCATGGTGGGTTCAGCTACCTCGAGAGACAGGAAAAGGAGAAGGTTTGGGCTCCTGACAAATCGTTTGTTTGTTTGTTTTTCCAGCTGAATTGCTATACACTACTGCTGCGTGCTGTGCAAATACCCACGCGAGCAAAGGTCTTTCATATTTTGGCCCAGAGGACTGGGAGAGAAGTTGTCGATATTTATTATCGGGTGGGAGGATTTTTTTTTTTCAAGTATTTTTTTGGTGCGTAGGTCAGTGGTGTGGGGTGTCAATGGGAGGAAGGGTGTCAAGAGGAGGAGGGAGAAGCTGCTGTATCATCATCACGACTGTTGTTTTCTTTTTTGTTGCAGCCAGCCATAAAACACTGGTTGGTTTGCGATTGATCGTCCGCAGGTTTTGGGCGTGAAAGTTGTCAAGGTGGAGTGGGGTTTCGGCTTGAGGGGGGGGCGTTGTGCGTGGGGCGGGGGTGGGGGGAGATTAAAGGTCAAGCTGCTAGAAAAAAGTGCGCGCTATCCGCGGTGGAACTAGTTGATAGTTAGGCGAGGCAGGCAAGCAGTAGTAGTGTACACGCGATTTTGGTACCAACAACGGGGTGGACACCATTCATTATTGTTCACGTCTAGCGCAACAAATTAGAAGACCTTTTTTTTCGTGTTACACAGCCTGTCTGTGTGGCTTCGACATGTCGAGGATGTCGCTGGCGACAGGAACGATTTTTTCACGGACCACCGATTCGGGCGAGCGAGCAGATAAGAGCAACACGGGAACGTACGTCAGATGGGGGGGGGGGAGAGAGAGAAAAGGGTAGGGGACAGGGGAGGACGGCAGCCTAGACTGGAAGCTGCTGTCAGGGGAGGGAGGGGCATTCCCGTCGCAACTACCCTGTCAGCAGCACCTACTATTTACCTCGTGCAGCAGCACCGAGTGTGCTCATCGTGCGGTGCTCGAGATCGGATCTCGCGCAAAAGATGTGTCGGTTTCAGCTATTACCGCAACAATTTAGAAGGGAAGGAAGAAGAGAGCGGGGCGACGCCACCCGAAAACGGCAGTATTTTTGCGGCACAACTGTACACGAGCATCATGACCATCATCGTGGTTCTGCCGCATGTACGTGCAAGCAAGGTCTCACGAGACCTATTTGGAGTGGAAGGGCGAGGAGGGAGGGAAGCGGAAATGTCAGGCCTGGTTGGATTGGCGGTGTTCTTGGCTTTTTGTCCACCATGTAGACCGATTTTCCTGAATTCACTTGAATTGGGGGTGGTCTGGGCTGATTTGTTCACCATGTGGACCGGTTTTCCTGATTTCACTTAGAAAATGACCGCAAGGGTCTGGTTTATCTTTGGCATAAATGACGAGCCTGCAGTGCCAACTAGCAGGGAGCACACGGAGTGTCAGCTCCCCTTGCTATACATAATACAAGCCGGCCGGAGGTGGGGTCTCTACGGGACCTGGAAAAAAACGTCAGAAGGGAGGGAGACCGTGTTGTGAATAGTTGTTGCTGTCGCAAAGTCCAGTCAGTCAAGATAGAAGAGCACAACAACAACAACAGCAACAACGGGGTCATCCTATCCCAGCCCGTGCTACGGTATAGTCCATATATGTCGACACGTAACGTTGGCGAGGAGGAGGACGGCGAGCTCCTCCTGCGAGATGTGTCCCTGTGCGACGGGAGTTTTTTCCCTTGTGGGTGGGAAACGAGGAGAAGGTGCCCACGGGAGTTGCATGCGCTAATAACACGCCATGCTGAGGTGTTCGTTTGAAGCCAGCCGCCCCAAAAAAAAAGCAAGAGGCGATCGCTCTCTAGAAAGAGGTGGGGATCTACTGCTGTAGATGGATTGGTTTACATTGCTAGACCCCCCCTGGCTCATCATGTACCACGTGGTAAAGCGCTACACGACCAGGCGGTAGGGAGAAGGAAACATGACAAGTATGCTTGAGAATCAGGGATCAATGAAGATGCAGTACTACACGGGGAAATGTTGAGCGAGATCCTGTTGGTACAGGGTGGCCGCCTACTCTTGCTTTTGCTTCAGAGTTTGAATGCTTTGGAGCGGGGAAAAGGGGGTGGGTGTGGCTGTTCAAGGTGGTGGTAGTTGACGTGAAAGAGGGCCAGCAGCAGTCGACCAAGCACGATGAAGTGTAATAGAACGCATGAAGAATTTGAAAGGAGGGAGAAATCGCCCTTGGCAGACGTTGGTGCGATGCGACCTTCTTCAAGGTCATTCACCCTGCCCCTTGAAGTATGTTGAGTAGCTTTGTGCGTGGGTGCCTCGGCGCGGGGTCCCGTAGTGGGAAACAAAAGGTGCCAGCAGCTGGGTACTGCCAACGGTCAAAATGTAGAAACTATCCGCGGGCGTGAAAGCCCTTCTACGTGGTGGAGCGTGGAAGCTCGTGTATAATATAGTTGTGGCGTGGAAGCCGGGTGGCGTGGTGGCCCTGATGTAAAGGTATATTTAGGGACGTGGGAGTCCTGAAGGCGTGGAAGCCGGGTTGGCGTGATAGCCGGAGTATGGGCGTGGAAGCCGGGGTTGGCGTGAGAGCCGGAAAAAGGACTTGATTATACACAGAAAAAGGAAGAGAGGAACCACAAGCCACGCACACAAATTCCGTTGTAGACACCCATACCCTCAAACCTGCAATATGTGATAAAGTTGGTACCACCAAATCTAATCCATAGCAACCATTGAACCCCCAAACTCCCCGCTCCATCTGCTCGGGAAATTCTTGCTCGCAATAATCTGTTGATGCTGTGAGTACATCCAACAGCCCCCCTACTCGCTGCATTGGCAAGATTACACCCGGACTCATTTAACTACCTTACACATGCATACCCTCTTATACCAAATACCTGAACGCAAGGCTTAGTGATTAACATTCCATCCATCTCATGCTTCGTCTTCGCCAAAACACCATGACCATTATACCCGAAACAAAACTCGTTAGAACTCCAACCGGTTTGAAACTCTTCTCCTAACCATTAAACCAGAAACACTGCAGAGATTATCCATCGGTCACCCTGGAATTCA